TATAAAGACGTAAATGCACATTTGTATCTTTTAGTGAATGATAACTTTACAAATCATGAGATAAGTCCTAACTTTACTTCATGTTTCTCAACAAAAATAACTTTATTGTCAGATTGAAGCATCATCAAATTGTCCTAAAATTATACCTCAAAATAGGGAGGCAAATAAGCAAATAAGTTATTACTAACTTAAAATAACATGAGAAAATTGTAAATGCTGAGTGGCATAAAAAAAGTGTATCCATTTCAAACATGATCAAAGCATATAAGTTTCAAACAACATAAATTCTATGCCTTTTAGAATCATAAGGACTAGAAGAATAAAAAGTTAGGCAAAGAGAAGAGCAGTAATTAACATTCCACAATATTATCATAAGAAAATGTGGTAGTTATATGTCAACTTCATTGAATGTAGTCAACATTGTAAAAGTATTTTAGAAGTTATTTAAGCGTGTTGCAACACGTTTTCCAAGTATAATCATAGAACCTGAAATCACAGAAACTGTAAGATGTTAAAGTAGTAGCAATTTTTCCCTTTGATAATGTACAATAAACAACAAAAACCAAAAGGTTAGTAAATATTCAATGTTTGTCATAAGAAATATTATGAGTAGAAAAATAAAATTCCTATAGTACTTACTCTTCTCTCTTTTTCTTTAGAAAGAAGTTAAGGTTCCTTAGTTGAAGGTTTGGAAAAAGACAAAAAAGGTGCAAGGAATAATTGTTAAATATTAATTAATAGAAGAGACAAATAGATCAATATTTTGATAGTCAACCATAATCTATTGATAAACTAATTAATTAGTAAAAGCAATCATTTAAGAGCATAAGAAAAATGAATAATTTTAGTAACTTTACATTCATTCTATCAACAATGACCCTTGAATGACCTACATCGCACGCAACACTTTATAAAGATATACAAAAAAAATTTGGCTTTCAAATACTGTGATTTGGTCTTTAACCATTTATAATTCTTTCATAAACTTATGTCACTGATCCTTTATCTTTTGTACTTCTTGCTTTTCTTTTTTAAAAAATTCTTCCATTTCTTTAATTCTTTCTTTAACTTATTTAAATTAGCTTTATATTCCCTTAATTTAGTAAGAAGTGTTACCTTTACCTTTGTCAGTGTAAAACCAATGAGAGATGAAAGTATCCCTCAGATTTTTACAAATGTAGACAATCTTAGAGCTAGAATCTTTAATGGAAGGTGGTAAAGAAGCATAGGGGATGTGGGTGAAGAAAATTCTTGGTTGGTATGGATAGTTTTTTTCGAGATCTGGATAAGGGTTATTGATGTAAAGATCAAACTCAAAGAAAGGAACAAGTTGGTGAGGGCATACATTGAGTAAAGGAGTTTCTTCCATTGCAAATTGATTGTGATTCACAACTGAAAAGTTAAAGCCTTAAGCCAAGTAGTGCCACATTTTGGTGAACTTGTGACAATAATATCACTATCAAGTGCTTGGAAATGTTTTTGGAAAGAAATCATAGCTTTTAAAACAATAGATGGACACCAAAATCCTTGATAGAAATAAATATGAGATCCCCACCAGTTGTTTTCTTTAGCGAGGGTTTGCACTATTTCTTGGAATTCATCCTCCCATGGCACCTTACCTTCATCATCTTGTGGTTTAGAAACAATACTAACGTCTTTAGGGATTTCTGTGGTATCCATGATGAAACTTGCAGCAATTGAGAGGAGGAGTAGAAATGAATATGAAAACTCTACATTAGTTCTTTTTTGCTATAATTATTTATAGTGAGGGTAGGCTTCCTTGTTTTAGGATAAGAATAAATTATAGATTTTAAAAGTAATTTATGTTGAATTTATAAGTCATTTATCAAAATAACTATCGGTAATAAAATTTAAATCTAAATTTTATAAATAAAATATTTGAATTTTACCAACTTAATCAATCTTTTAGCTCTAAACTAATTCTTTAATAAATTTATATAAGTTGTTCATCTTGTCCTGTTCATTTTTAATTACAGTGAATTACTTTAGATAATCAAAAACATTTTTTTTTTAATTTTGGGTAATACTATATTCTTATTTATGATTTTTAAATTTTAATTTATAACCCCTTATTTTTATTATATTAATTTTTTCTAAGCAAAAGAAAAATTAATGAAATTTTATGATCAATCTGATATCTATTGTTTATCAATAAAACATGAAAAAAATCTCAATAATTACACCATATTTCCTCTTTAATTTGAATTAAAATTATAAATGATTTTTTATTAATAATTTTTGGTGGTTATAGGACAACATCACAATAAAGAGGGATAGATCCAGCATTAATATGGAAAGAGAAATTCTTAATACAGTTAGAGTGAAGTTTTTTTAATTTTATATGCAAAAATAAGATGGTGATATATATTTTTTATATATTTAAAAAATAAAATATTTTTTATTATTTTAATTTTATATGTGAAGTTTACTGTTAATATATTTGATAATTGTCATATGTAAAAGATCAAATTATGCAATTAATCATTGTACTTATATGAAATTTTAATTTTAGTTTTTATATAATAATTTACAAAAGTTAAATTTTCATATTAATTTAATTTAATAATATTAATCCAATTAATAATGGTGTTACTTTATCTCTATTAAATTACCTGACGTGGTCGTCGAGCATGTTGACACGAATTGACTTTAATGAAATGTATTAACTTGCTAACAAAGCAATAGAAATTGATGAAATCAATTGTTAAATTATACAAATGATCTCAATATTTTTACGAAATTTAAAATTTAGTCCTTGCATAAAATTTAAAATTTAATCTCTTTATTATAAAAAAATATTTTGAATTATTTTAGTTTTTTAAAAATATTAAATTTCAAAAATATTTTAATTCCTTTAATATACTAGTTTTTATTATATATAATTAATTATTAATAATATCATATTAATAATATTAATATCATTTATATTAATCAATTATAATATTAATAATTTAAATTAATATATCAAAGTTAATATTATTTTAATTAGCACAAATATATCATGTAACAAAATTTATAATGAACCGAATTATTAATTAGAGTAGCATTTGTAATAAATTCAAAATAGATTATGAATAAAATGAGCATTTTATCTAACCAAATAAAATAAAAGATTCAAAATTAAATTTTTACAAAAAAGGAACTTCTATCCATTTGAAAAATGAACCTTAAATCTTAACAAAATAAAAGTAGGAAATGGTTTATTTGATAAATCAAAATATTAATATCGTGTATTATAATAAAGACTTTTAATTTTTTAGGTCTTTACAAAAAAAATTACTTAAATAATTGTGTTAAATTAAATAATAAGATTAATTTTAAAATCAATACATATTAAGTTTAATAAATTACTTTAATATATTTAGATTATTGAACCTATATTTGATTATAAAAAATCATTTAAATAGGAGTTTAATTTAAAGGAATAGAAACATTGCTTTATGGATAATTTGATCTTTATGGGATATAATTATAATTCTAATTTATTAGATAAATTAATAAAAAAATAATTTTACTAAAATTAGATAGTAACAAATTTGTATCATATATTAATAAATTTATGATAGATTTTTAATATATTGATTTAAGAATTTTTTTTATATTGCCATAATATATTACAATTGTGACAGAAAGATGATAAAATTAATTACAGCTTTATATTTTATGACAGAATATAACAAGAAATAATGACAAAACTAGCAATAGTATTTCAGATGGGCGACAAAAAAATGATTAAATTTAACGACAATATATGAAAATTATAACTAAATATTGTGATAGATTTTTTAATATTATGATAAAATATTATGAGAGAATATTGTAGTAGTTTTTAAAATTTAATGTTTTAAAAAATAGATTATTTCTAAAAATTTAAAATATTTTTTGTATTAGAGATTGAATTTTAAATTTCATACAAGTACATAGATTAAATTTTAAATTTCATACAAGCACAAAAATTAAATTTTAAATTTCATATGAGTACAGAGATTATTTGTATAATTTAATAACTAATTTCATTAATCTTAATTACCATATTAACAAATCAATGCCACATTATTAAAATTAACGTTACAGTGTAACTAACAACCATGTCAACTAATTTAACAAAAATTATGTAACAATGTTATCAATTAAATCAACATTATTAAATTAAATTAATATGAGATTCTAATTTTTACAAATTATTGTTTAAAAACTAAAATTTAAATTTTATATAAATATAAAAACCAATTACATAATTTGACTTATGTAAAATAGTTAGACAAATAAAGGCTCATAAAAATAAAACATATGCATAGGTTGCCTTTTAAGGACTTTCAATGGCTCGAATGTATGTTATACTAGTCCATAAAAATTTTAGGTTCGGATATATATTAAACTAGTCAAATAATTCCATTTTGTTTGTTATGTGGACATTTAAATGTCGAGGTAGACCTATTTTTGCAACATGAATCTTCATGCAAGGTTGAGTAGGAGATTTTATCAAATTATAATGATGAAATAGATGATTTTAAAATATTTTTAAAAAATAATAAATTTAAAAATTAATTTTTAAAAGTTATAAATGAAAAGATAGGGTATACACTATTAATTAAGGTTTTTATTTTTTAAAAATTTAATATCTTTACGTTTTTATATTCTAAATTTATATTTTAATTTTTAAAATATTTTGATGTAAAAAAAAAACTGAATCGAAGCAAAATCTATTGATAAGTTGGATTTGTTTATCTCTTAAATCAACCATGAAACGATTGGCCAAAAAAATGAATTGTTAAACTATTCGAAGTGAAGGATTTCAAGAAAATAATTTTTCATAAATTTATTTAAACTTATTATAAAAAATTATTGGATAAAATATCAAATTTATTTACCGTAAAAAAACTCAAGATTGGACTCAACAAGAAGCCCGTAATTGATGGTAGGCCCATTGAATCTAGATCCATTAGGAAGAGCCCAAACAATTTCACTTCCCTTTCCTCTCTTACCTTCCACTCTCCTCCAGCCGTAGCGCGCCTTCCAAACGGATAAACCTTCTCCTTCTCTTTTCGTTTCTCTGCCTTTCTCTCCACAAAGCTTTGAAAACTTCAAAAACCAAACAGCAAAAACGAAGAAAAAATTTTGAAATGCTGACAAACCCTAGCGGCGTACGAAGCACGCCGTGCTATTCTCACCCTTCGTATTTCACTTTCTCCAACCGTTGCAAACTCCTTTTATCTCCAAATTGCCCTCGCTTTCTTAGTTCCAAAAAGTCCTCTAAGTTTTGCCCTCTCTCGCTGCTTTTACCCAGAAATGGCGTTCCCAGTAACCGCTTTGCCGTTAGAGCTTTGGCGGAACCGGAAGTTTCCGAGTCGGATGCTGCTGCTGCCGACGGATGTGGTGGTGCTGGTGGTTCCTGTTTTCTGCAACCGGTTTCTGTTAAAATTCCTTTTGGAGATAGAGAGGTAAGCTTCGAGAATTTGTTGTCTTACTTTTATTCTGAAAATATTGTAGTAAATGAAGTATTAAGTAAAAGCAAATAGTGAAAAACTAGATGATGTTTGATCAAAGAACGAGCGAATTATTAAAATGAAATACAAATTTAATTTAACTTTGAAGCATGAATTTTTTTATCTAAAAAATTTAATTATGCAAAAAGATGTTAGTATTTTCTTTTGACCGAATTCACATTTTTACTCTTTGTTTGTTGAAAAAAAAAAGTAGTATTAAAAATGTAAAATTAAAAAATTGAATGAAACATTAGGAAATTCAAAATAATACGTTATTATGGGAACTTGATTCTTAAAGGTTTTAAGAAATGAGTATATGATGTATAGTTGATATTGTAAAAGCAGGCAAAAGTGTACGCAGTTTTTGTTAGAAAATGATGGCCACAAATGTTTTGCATTTTTTTCTAGCTCATCTTTTGCACTTTAGGCTAGTTGAAATGGTAGTTTTATTTTGGTGTTATTCCTTGTTGGGTTTTGGAGTGATAATTAGGGGAATATTGAACTCAACCTGACGTTATTTAGTTGATTACTTAAGTAATTTTGTTGCTTATTGCAGATTCTGGTTGAGACAGGTCACATAGGGAGGCAAGCCAGCGGTTCTGTAATGGCAACGGATGGAGAAACCGTAAGTTCTGATTTCCTCATATGGGTGTGTGATGTGTTTCTATGAAAACACATTCACATTCATTGCAATTAGAGATTTGTTCTGTCTTATGTGTTTTTCTCATTCGTTAAAAAACTAGTGAAGGCTTTATTTACTTTTTTGTAGATTGTATACACATCTGTTTGTTTGTCAGATGTCCCAAGTGAGCCTTCTGATTTTTTCCCACTTAGTGTTAATTATCAAGAACGTTTTTCAGCAGCAGGTCGGACTAGGTGTGTCTTCGTTTAACCCTTATATTTGTTTTATTAATTACTTGAAATTAACTTATTTATCATACTTAATGTTTTCTATTGCTTCAGCGGTGGTTTCTTTAAACGAGAAGGGAGGCCAAGGGATAATGAGGTACTAGTCACTGTTATCCAAGCATGGGAAATTTTTAATCCTTGTTGGCATCTGAAGCATTCTTGGAACTATGGACATGCTATCAAAATATTTGGCTTCCATATTGCAGGCAATTGGTTATTTCATCCGTCCTATTATTTCATCACTTTTGTCATTTTAAATTGTCCTAACTAAAATGTTGCTGTTGAAATAGTCAAATGCTTAAGTTTCCCATATACTCTTTCATTGTTTCCATTAAAAAGTAAGACAATCCACTGGGTAAACTAAAACTAGTTGACCACTTTTTTATGTCAACTTTTCCTATTTTGGTTTTCTTAAAATGAGTATTTAATTAAATGTGACAATTGTAGGACAAGGTGAGTATTTCAATTTGGTACAGCACTTTGTGTTTGAGGAGCTATTTTCTTCAATAACTTGCTGAGAGCAGCACTATTTTAATGTTATTTTATGGCATACATATCTTCCTGAGCTACTGATTAAAATGCCTTTGAAGTTGTCATTTATCTATTATTTGTTACTTTGTTTTGTGTAGGTTCTTATTTGTAGACTGATTGATAGGCCTTTGCGTCCAACTATGCTTAAGGGCTTCTACCATGAAACTCAGTTATTATCCTGGGTAAACCTTATCTTCCCTCTAGAATGATTTCTTTTTCTCCAAATGATTCTTATATTCAAAGCTTTTAGCTGGCCTCTGTTGACTCTTATGTATATATTATGTGATGTTATTTTTGTTGAAAAATCGTTTTCTGAAATGTGATAATGTGGTGGTTCTTATATACATGATGACGTGGACAATATGTTAACTAGTTTATCTGATTAGTTGTTTTGAATTTACTCAATAAGGTTTTATAGCCTTATCATCAGTTTTTGCTAAATAAATCATTTGCGCCATTTAGTGCTTTTGCTACAAATGTTAGCTAAAATGAGATGTAACCAACCATTTGTTCTCCATGCTTGGTGAAGCTTTTTTAATTTTAAATTTTTGCTTCTTGTTTATTATTTTAACTTATGTCTAATTTGAAGGAGTGCATCCTCCTTGGACCTAATTTGTTATATTGGGTTTATGGAAAACGACTGACCTAGATTCTGACCATGCATTATCATTCTTTATGATGTTACAATATGATGATGCTTTGGAATAGAGCACAAATTATAAACTCTAATGTGAAACCTCTACTTTATTACCCCTTCATACAACTTTTAAGCTGTCATCTTTATTTATTTATTTACTTATTTTTTCCTTTTTCCTTTGTGGCAATATTAGCATGCATGCCACCTTTCTTATTGAGGAAAATACCAACACTAAACAATATCTCTGTCACATGAGTGCCGTAATATGCAATTTTATTGGACTTTGTACCTGGTCAAAGGCAGTTTTTTAATACGCAATACATGTACATGCTGTGCACCCCTGTGTGCCAGTTTTGTACAAATGTCTGACACTGATATACCTCCGACATGGCAGGATGTGTCATACATGGGGCAACATGCCAAGAATTAAAAAAAATCAGACATGGTCAAGAATTTTTTGAAATTGCCATGTTGCTGTGCCCATGCTTCCTAGGTCAAAGGGGAGACTATAATTTGGTACAATGGGAGCAGCATTAGGTGAATATTCATTGGGGAATTTACTTCCTTGTTTCCTTCTGGATTTTCTTCCATAGAGGACTATAATTTGGTACAATGGGAGCAGCATTAGGTGAATATTCATTGGAGAATTTACTTCCTTGTTTCCTTCTTCTGGATTTTTCCTCCATAGAGGATGTTTGCTCTCTCAACTCAAACTACTTGGCTACCATATCCTGTCTCTTTCTCTCGCCCTAACATTCACTTTAATATACTCAGTAGATGTATGTCCATTATGTCATTGCACTGTCTATAGCTGCAAAGCAGTTATTCTTGGCATATGTTTGTGATAGTGAATGTGAATTTTACCTTTGTATAGTTGCAAAGCAGTTATTCTTGGCAGATGTTTGTGATGGCGGATGCTAATGTTGTCTTTGTTTGATTATTGTTATACTATGAATAGCAAAAAGATTATGACCTTAATTTTATCTAGGGGCTTGCATTCTGTGTTAGCAGATATTGTAAGGGTGTGCAAAAGTAATTTAGACTTAAGGGATTTTAATGCCTTAAAAACAGATTATATCTGCTGATGGTAAGTTTGTCTGATACGTTGTGCATTTTGTGTTTGCCCTTGGTTTTCAGTGCTTGATCATTCATGCTTTCTTTCTAGAATTTGAAGCATAGTTACATGTGACTTATATAAACTTCCATTGCTTGTTTTATATCTGAATAGCATTCACCTTTTACTTGCAGGTTTTGAGTTATGACGGTTTGCACTCCCCAGATGCTTTAGCAATTACTGCAGCCGGTATAGCAGTGTAAGGCTGATAAAAGTTTTGGTCTTACTTACCTTGTGGCTTTTGTGATGTGTATATTTATATATAGGATGTTGTTTTTGAATATATATTCATCAATGCCACAGAGCTATTTCAGAAGTGCCACACTCAAAAGCTATAGCAGGGGTTCGAGTTGGTTTGCTTGGTGATAAATTTGTTGTGAATCCAACGACAAAGGAGATGGAAGACTCAACATTAGACCTATTTTTGGCAGGCACAGATGGTGCTATATTAATGATAGAGGTTAAACTTTAATCCTAATTTCTTTGTCGTACGATATAGTGGATTATGATGCGCTTTTGTACCAGTAACTTGGAACATGTGGCAGCTGATTTTGGTCTTTTCTGAAGGATCTTTATTTTTGTTTTTCCTTTTATTATTTGTTCATGGAAATATTTTGGTAGGAGTATGTGCACTCCATCTAAATTGTCTCCTATAAACTACAACCTTTACCTCTCATGTCGGAAGTTGGAGCCAGTTCTAACTCTCATATGGATTATTTCTGAATGTTTTCAGTTTTCTAGTAAATTGTTAAGTGATTGTAAGTTAAGAAAAATGAATTTTGGACTGTGTTTTCCTCTTCTTGTTTGCAGATGTCTCCTTTAATTTTGTGCTATGATTTGAATATGGCTTATGGTTGAATTATTACACAATTGTGCATCTTCTTACATCTTATTTCATTTGGGGATTTCAATAGAGAATAATGAATCTTCAGTATGAGGAACAGTAATTGAAAACATTATAAAATAATGTTTGCAGTGGAATGAGAAAGTGGACATGGTTTAAATTTAGTTAATAGAATCTAGCATGTAACCTAATTTCTTAGACGAGACGATAGAAGGATCAGAGATTTCACAAACAAGAGAGGTAACTGAAATTTATGAAGTGAGAGTAGTGCACTCACAAAGACTTTCCCTAGTTGTCATTCTCTACAGTTTGGTAGTTGGCAGCAGCTTTAGAAGTGCATGCAATGAATGTGGGTAAATGTTGCTCTTCTTGAAATGCATTATCTTTTCCAAGGAGTTTCTTGTACAGTGTTAATCATTGGATAAGTTGCAGTTGTGGTCAGAACTTGAAAGTTGAGTCTGGGAGAGTGAGCACTTACTAGGTCATCGTCTGATGTACTTTTATTTGACCCATACATTTAACAAAAGGGATTGACCTAGAAATTAGTAATATTGATGCTATTTTGAAGTAGGTGGCCTGCGGGACATAAGTTTGTTAATGAATCAGTGCTCGTGTGAGCATTTCACACATGCAAAACAGATACATAGATGTGGGGCTGACTTATGGTAATGAGTTTTGCTATTTAGTAATGGAGCTTGTGCTTCTGGATAATTGAATGTTAGGAGGTACATAAATAAGCAAAAAAGGTAAATGGTCCAAGAAGGATCATTTGAGATAAAGCTGCTCCACCCCCAATTGTTTTCATATATTGTGTGTTTTTATCATTATTATGAGCTTAAAGGGCGTTTATCATTTCACTTTGCTTTCCTGTGTATATGTTATTTATGGGTTGCACATTGTTCCAGATTTCTATTCTTGATTCTTTTTAATTAACTATTACTCATAGGCATTCTGACAGTCATAGATGTTTGCAACGTTTATTCCTTGCAGGGTTATTGTGATTTTCTATCAGAAGAAAAGTTGCTGGAAGCAGTACAAGTTGGGCAGGTTGTTTTTTATATCTAAGTATGTTGCTTATCTGGTATTTCATTTTTTTAAGTCATAAGTTTTCACTGTCCTGTCATTTGAGGAATTCCGTTTTATATTCCCATGAGAGTTGCTATTTCTTCATGCAATAGCATCAATCCACTTCTCTGGTTGAATCCTGTAAACCAGAGAGAGAGTGTGTGTATGTGTGAGAGGTGAAGACTTGAATTGAATTTGTTAAATTCAGAATTTGGCAGTTATTGTGAAAGCCCCAAAAGGAATTTCAAACTGAATTCTATCGAAGGAAGGCTTGGATTCTAACCTTTTGGCCAATATTTTCATTTTTGTTTCAGAATACACTTGTCTGGACTAAATCAAACTGTGAATATTTCTAGCTTGAGAAGTGTCTTGTTTTCTGCATGATGATGTATGCCTTATTTTTATCCTTATATGCTGCTTTTCTAGATAAATATTTACATTTTAAAGGCTTGTTCTTTTCTTCCTGTCACTTTGATGTGCATGCTACATTCTATTCTTACGAGTTAGTTGTCTTGTCATATCTTTGTTTACCATCATAATTTTGAAACCTTTATTTAGAGGAAACCATTAAACACCTTTTGAGGAAGTTTTGTGTTTCATTTGAAGCAGATTATCCAATATATCTTTGTTATATTCATAATAGGAAACTCAATGGGCAAGTTTGAATGGAATAAGCATTCTGTCTTCACCCTTACCTTTCTTGGCTGGGACCTGTTCTATTTTACAAGTTGAAGAGATTATATTCACTGGCATATGTACATATTTGCATATGCATATTCAAATGCAGTTTTGCATTTACCATATCCTTCCTGTATAATTATGCTGAAAGATGAGTTGATTAACATTTTCCCTTCAGAATGTGATATAAAGCATCCTACAACAGCCACAATATATTAAAAAAAAAAAAAAAAACAAATCTAGAGATTTTTTTTATTATCTTGATTATAACATTTAAATCTTGTCCATTTCACTAATACCAGGATGCGGTGAGAGATATCTGCACCTCTGTGGAGTCTTTGGTTAAGAAGTGTGGGAAACCAAAAATGCATGATGCAATCAAATTGCCACCTCCTGAGCTTTATCGGATTGTGGAAGTATGGTTCTTCTCTTCTGTTTCCGTTAACATGTATTTTCTTTTCTTTCTTTTGATTTTTGAATTAATTTGGTTATTATTTTTCAGATATAATTCTATTGTCTTTGCTAATATATGTGATCTTGTCCAATGATGTAATACTTTTATTATGCTAGTAAATGTTCAATTTCCAAATCAATTACAGAAGCTAGCACTTATTTGTTTTAACAATTGGAAATTTTGAGCAATTAGTGGTGATGCAGATAATGCTGATCATTTGAGAATCTTACCTGAGAATAGCATGAAAACTTTGTAATTATAATTGAAGGTCCTGTCTCTCAATGTAATGTAGTTATAGCACTTTCAACAGTTTAAATATTATAAGAAATGGTTCCTTCCCAATCGCTTCTCCATAAAGGAAGAAAATGAGAGTAAGGGAAGTGAATAAGCACTAGATGTGGACAGTTCTACCTTCTACAAAAGTTTTACTAAAACTATAAAAGGCCAATATCTGATGCTTGAAAAAGAAATTGGTGAAACTTTGTTTTTCATGTGTATTTACCTCTCATCTATCTTTTCTTATGCAAATTCCTTTATAAAAATTGTACTTCGTGGTAATGTACTTTGTGATTATTTGCAATATACAGAAAATTGCTGGTGATGAATTGCATAAAGTGCTGCAAATTAGGAGTAAAATACCAAGAAGAAAGGCCATCTCATTGTTAGAAGAGAAAGTTATTAACACACTGACAGATAAAGGCTATATCAGTACAGAGGATACACCAGGGACTGTTGAAACAATCCAAGACTTGCTTGATGAGGAAGATGAGGATGAAGAAATTGTTGTTGATGGTGAAGTAGATGAAGGTGATGTGCACATAAAGCCGGTTTCTCGAAAATCCACTCCCTTGGTGAGTTGTGATTGGGGTAATCAGGCATTTTAATTGCTTGTCTTGTAATATCCTGTTAATATTCGAAGTTGTTTCTCAAGTCAATAACACAATTTTTATTCCTGTTGTCCTATCATAGTTTACTGAGGTGGATGTGAAGCTGGTATTTAAGGATGTTTTATCCAAATTCTTACGGAGACATATTGTGGAGGTATGAAGGCTTGTTGTCAATGACAAAATGAAAATTTTGGGTTTGAATAATCATTGGTGGATGATAACTTTTATCAGTATTTAATTTTTAAGAGTTCTACTGAATCTTCATTTCTTCCCCAAAGCAATGAAGTAGTGACTCTGAAACTGTGAGGAGGCAGCTTTTTCCTTTATCCCTGGAGGTTTACATTTCTTCTGTCTGTAATCTTTTATTTTCCTGATTGTTAAAGTAGTTTAAAGTGAAATCAGTGTTAATCCTGTGAACTAGATTTTTGTGTTTCTTAAAAGTCAAACCTGTATTTTCTAAGGCCATGTTATCTTTTTCATTGGCAATTTGCCTTTTTGGCTTAATCTTGCAGATTAAAGATCCAATAAGTTCTATGATTTCTATTAAGATTTGGTGTTCACGTTTTCTACTAGTTTTTTGCTCTAAAAAACATTATTTTGCTCTTGACATTTTTGTGAAGCAACAAATCATATCATATAACTCCAGTAGCATCTGAACAGCCTGTTTATGCTTGATTACGTTGAGAAAAGGTGAATAACTTTCATTTGCTTCATGGGGATGTATCGCTTTTCAGCCAAACGTGATTCCTTCCAAGCGCATCCACTTTCTTAATGTTTTTTCCTTGAAATTTGCAACTGTTACAGGGAGGAAAAAGAAGCGATGGGAGGTCCCCAGAAGGGATACGTCCAATCACATCAAGATGTGGATTGCTTCCAAGGGCCCATGGAAGTGCTCTCTTTACACGTGGGGAGACACAGGTTTGTAGAAGTGCAGTGCTCTTGCTGATAAAATGTTTAATTGTGCACCTATCATCTTTCTGTTACTACATGCATGCTTGTTTTTGGGATATGGATAAACACTAGAGGTGATTTACATAAGCCTATATGACTGCTACTCTGGCTCATTTGATATTTTCTGAATTCTGGTTAAGTTTGCATTAAAGTGTCTCCAAAAGTAACATTTAGTTTCATCATTTCACATGTTTGTTTCATGATAAAAAAATTCTGCATTTTTTGTCCATTTATTTTATCTGCATGATGCTTAGTTGCTTACTGCTATGTTTTCATTATTCCTTATTTTGTTTATTCTCATCCATCTTTCTTTTAGTCACTGGCGGTGGTCACACTTGGTGATAAACAAATGGCACAAAAAGTGGACAATCTAGCAAATGTAGAGGAATACAAGAGGTTCTATCTTCAGGTTGGTTTAAAACATTTATTCTTCTATTCTTTTCTTCAGTTATCAACTATAGTTCCTTTATGTATATACTAGTTTCTATTTTCATGAGAGTGAACTTGTCAAATTTGCAATTAATCATTGACATCACTCGTTAGACATTTGTCTTCAAGAAGTACCTTACTATTATGAAATTGAATTGATATCAAAGACCATAATATACTTTATCTTCTCTGTTTAATTTTGGAACTATTACTGAAATTCTGTTGCAATGTTAGCTTCTAAGATAAAACTATCCAATGGAAAATATACCTATCCTAACAAGCTAGGGACTGCAGCTTTAATTGGATGGTGTGTGAATTTTCCATTTACCTGCACATAGGAGTGACAAACATGGATGGTAGTTGTGGAAACTGAATGTATATTGAAAAACTGCTTATATGAATTATACAAGAATCTTAAGTTTATATACAACTAACTAGGGGTTAAACTAGGAAACTAAATCTTCCTTAATTCTAGGGATACAAATACTTAATTCTAGAGATACAAATATAAATATACAGATTACAAGATTACAACCAGCTATAAATAAGTGTTTTCCCACACTCCCCCTCAAGCTGGTGAATAGGTGTTTTCCATTCCCAGCTTGGAAATAATTCCTTGAAATGTTGCATTGCTGAGACCTTTAGTCAACACATCTGCAAGTTGACCCTTGGTTGATACATAAGGTGTACAAATCAACCCACTGTCTAGTTTCTCCTTTATGAAATGCCGGTCTACTTCAATGTGTTTTGTTCTGTCATGTTGTACAGGATTGTGTGCAATGCTTATTGCAGACTTGTTATCACAGTAGAGTCTCATTGGTCCATCCCACTTGATCTTCAAGTCTTCTAAGATAATCTTTAACCATAGTAGTTCACAAATCCCTTGAGCCATTGCTCTGAACTCTGCTTCAGCACTTGATCTTGCCACCACATTCTGTTTTTTACTCCTCCAAGTCACAAGATTACCACCTAAGAAAGTACAGTAGCCTGAGGTGGATCTTCTATCAGTTACTGAACCTGCATAATCAGCATCTGTATACGCTTCTAGAACTAACCCTGAATTTCTTTTGAATAAAATACCTCTCCCAGGATTGGCCTTCAAATAGTGCAATATACGGTAGACAGCCTGTAGGTGCACTTCTTTAGGACTATGCATAAATTGACTTACCACACTCACAGCATATGCTATATCAGGTCTAGTATGTGAGAGATAAATGAGTCTTCCAACTAATCTTTGGTACATCTCTCTATTTACAGCAGCATCTTCATTAGCTTCTCCAATTTTATGATTAGGATCCATAGGGGTATTTGCAGGTTTACATGCAAGCTTCCCAGTTTCCTTCAAAAGATCCATCACATATTTCTGTTGTGAGATAAAAATACCATGCCGTGAGTGAGCTACTTCAATTCCTAGGAAGTATTTCAATCTCCCTAGCTCTTTTATCTCAAATTCTCTAGCCAAACACTGTTTTAGAGATTCTCTCTCTTTTTCATCATCTCCAGTTACAATTATATCATCAACATACACTAATAAAACTGTGACTCTCCCTGAATCAGAGTGCTTGATAAACAATGTGTGATCTCCTTGACTCTGTTTATATCCCATTGCTAGCATCACTTTGGCAAATCTCCCGAACCAAGCTCTAGGAGACTGTTTAAGGCCATATAAAGCCTTTTTTAGCCTGCATACTTTGTTTACTTCTAGATGACCTCCAAATCCCGGTGGAACCTTCATATATATTTCTTCTTCCAAATCACCATGTAGAAAAGCATTCTTTACATCAAATTGTTGAAGCTGCCAATTGTTATTTGCAGCCAATGATAACAAAATCCTAACTGTATTCATCTTGGCAAAAGGAGCAAAGGTTTCCTGGTAATCCACTCCATAGGTTTGAGTGTAGCCCTTAGCCACTAACCTGGCTTTATACCTTTCAACAGTACCATCTGCCTTGTATTTTACGGTGAAAACCCATTTACACCCCACTGAATTTTTTCCTTTAGGCAACTCTACCAGTTCCCATGTCTGATTTTTCTCTAAGGCCTCCATTTCTATTTTCATGGCTTGCCTCCATTTCTCATTGGATAATGCCTCGGATAATGTAGTTGGAACAGAAATAGTGTTTAGGCTCACAAGAAAATTTTTGTGGGATGGTGAGAATTTTTCAAATGACACAAAATTAGATATTGGGTATAGTGGATGCTTGGTACATTCTCTGGTTCCTTTCCTAATGGCAATAGACAAATCATAATCACTAGTTATAGTTTTAGGAGATTCATGCTCATTTTGAGAAACAGAGTCAAAAACTGTAGTTACCTCATTTCCAGAGTTAGGATCAGGTTCTTGGACTGGCACTGGTTCAGGATCTGGAACTTTCCTTCTTGAGTACACCTGTAATTCCTTCATAGAATCAAGAACAATATTATCCTTTGTCACATCTTCTGTATTTGGAATGGGTTCAGACTCAAATTCAGTGTTTGACTTGGGCTCAGCAGAAACAGGTTTCGACTTAGAAGAATTAATTGGTGTAAATGTTGAAGAAGGGGGCAAATCAAGCAAAAAGAAGTCTTTATCCTTATCTTCCATGAATGAAGTCTCCCCCTGAAGATAAGGTTGAGTAAAAAATGGTTTATTTTCTTCAAAAGTGACATCTGCAGACACATAGAATTTTTTGGTAGGAGGATGATAGCACTTATATCCTTTTTGAGTTGAAGAATACCTCACAAAAATACACTTAATCGCTCTTGGATCCAACTTTCCCCTGTTATGACTGTGAACATGAACAAATGATGTACAACCAAATATCCTAGGTGTGAGATTGTTTGTGGTATTGAGGTTGGGATAAAATTGTGAGAGTAGTTCCATAGGAGTTTTAAATCCCAAAACTCTTGAAGGTAACCTATTTATAATGTATGTGGCAGTGAGAACAGCTTCCCCCCAATAAGATTTAGGTACATTTGCTTGGAAAAGAAAGGCTCGGGTTGTGGCTAGTAAATGACTGTTTTTCCTCTCTGTCACTCCATTCTGCTGTGGAGTATTAACACAAGATGACTCATGGATAATCCCCTCTTTTTGAAAATAGGTGGATAGACTATGGTTGAAGTAGTCTCTTGCATTATCAGACCTAAATCTCTTGATTCTCACTCCAAATTGATTTTGGATTATGTTTTGGAAGCTTAAAAACACACTATTCAACATCTGATTTGGGATTTAAGTAAAAAACCCAAGAGACCCTAGTACAATCATCTATGAATGAAACAAACCATCTCGCACCAGAAATATTAGAAATTGTAGAGGGACCCCAAATGTCACTATGAATCAAGTAAAAGGGAGTAGAACTTCTTTTGTTACTGATTGGAAAAGACACACGTCTATGTTTTGCAAATTCACAAATATCACAATGAAAATCTTCAACATTTAATCCTTTGAACAAAGAAGGAAACATGTTTTTCAAGGTTCCAAAAGAAGGATGTCCAAGACGAAAATGATAAAGCCAAATTTTGTCTTTATTGGAAGATTTTTCAGAAAGAAATGACAAAGGTAAACTATTTTTGATACTACTTGTGCTATTTGATGTCTCAAGATAGTATAGTCCATCCTTCTCCTTAGCAAGTCCAATCATCTTCCCCGAACTCTAATCCTGAAATTCACAATAAGAGGGATAAAAAGTTACTTTGCAATTCATATCTCTGGTAAGTTTTTGTATAGATATCAGATTAATAGATAATTCAGGAACATGAAGAACATTTTTTAGAACAAACGAGGGATTAACTTGAACATCTCCTAATCCTGCCACTGTGGTAAGTGAACCATCAGCAACAACAATTTTCTTATTACTAGGACACAGGTTATATGTACTAAACTTTTGTGAAGAATGTGTCATGTGGTCTGTGGCTCCTGAGTCAATGACCCAAGAACTCGTAATAGGCTTAGCCGAGACATTTAATCCATGAGAACCAGAAGCTTTACCTGAACTAGAAACTTTACCCAAAGAACATACCATAGTAGGCTTTTCAAGGATTTTCAATAAGTTTCTCAGCTTTTCAATCTCTTCCCTGTTGAACTCTCCTTGTTTCTGAGACATTTGTAGTACTCTAGTGATTTTCCCAGTTAACATTTTCTCAAATTGAGTGGTAGTGAAATCTTTCTTTGAAAGGGTTCGGCAATGAAGGCCTAAACAGGATTCGGCAATGAAGGCCTAAAAAAGTCAACAATGAAGGCTGAAAATTTTGCTTCCCAAGAAGAGCCTAAAGCGATACCATGTGGAAACTGAATGTATATTGAAAAACTGCTTATATGAATTATACAAGAATCTTAAGTTTATATACAACTAACTAGGGGTTAAACTAGGAAACTAAATCTTCCTTAATTCTAGGGATACAAATACTTAATTCTAGAGATACAAATATAAATATACAGATTACAAGATTACAACCAGCTGTAAATAAGTGTTTTCCCACAGTAGTTGATGTAGCTATTTGGTTATCATGTTTATGTCATACTTTTGAAATAGATAATTAATGTGATTTGCTTGGCATTTCCATATAATTAGTCAGATGACATGCTTGATTTTTGAAGATGTAAACACGATGAAGTGGATGAAATTTTATTTTACCATGATAGTTTTGTTGGTCAAGCATTAATTACATTTAGTTAAATTTCTCATGATATGATTATGTTGTTGGAAACCTTGCCCTGGAGGACATCTGTTGATTTTATTTTGAAAACCACTTATCTGCTTATTCGGTTCACATGCACCTGTAGTTGTATTGCAAAGTCAAAGTATAAATAGTTGCTTAATCTAGTCTTTGATTTCCTTATACCCTGCCCCTCTTAATGGGGGAAAGTTGTACTCTTGCCCTGTACAGAGCTATACATGATGCTCCTATATTTAAAGAAATATATCTGCACAACATCATAACTAATCTGCTAATTAGAAGTGCTTTTCTTGGATTCAAAAATTTTTTTTTCTAATTAAAGTGAAATTTCTTTCCCTGAGTGATCAGCTAATAACTTGCCAGTGTTTATCTGATGTTTCAGTACTCATTTCCTCCATCAAGTGTTGGAGAGGTCGGCCGAATGGGAGCACCTAGTAGGAGAGAAATTGGACATGGAACTCTTGCAGAGAGAGCTCTTGAGCCTGTATTGCCTACCGAAGATGAATTTCCTTACACCATACGAGTTGAAAGTACCATTACTGAAAGCAATGGTTCCTCAAGGTGTTTTTTAAAAATTTTAAGAGTGTCCAAAAGCTATCATGCACTTTTCTACATTCAAAACCTCTGTTTTTTTAGGAGCTTGATGTCAAGTGTTTTACTACTTAACATGAAGTTTTGTTGCATAACAGCATGGCATCTGTTTGTGGAGGTTGCTTGGCATTGCAAGATGCCGGTGTTCCACTAAAATGCTCTATTGCTGGGATAGCAATGGGTTTGGTATTGGACACAGAAGAATTTGGAGGAGATGGTACACCACTTATTCTTTCTGACATTACTGGAGCTGAAGATGCTTCTGGGGATATGGATTTTAAGGTCATCTTCATGAATTTTCTTTATAATTTGTAATCTGGTTTGTTCAATTAAGCATTCTTAGAAGATAAAAATTATGTCAATGTCCCTCTCAAAACTGGTAGGGTAAAGATAAAGTTATGTAAATTACCTTATGAAGAATGTTCTTTGCAGGTTGCTGGAAATGAAGATGCCATAACTGCATTTCAGATGGACATAAAGGTCATTGATCATATAAAATTGTTATCCCTTCTTGAGTATATAGTTGTCGTGTTTCCTCTGGTGACAACAAACCGTTTGCACTTAAATCTTCCCTTCTGGCCCCAATTATTGATTTGTGTTTCCTGTCTTTTGTTAGTTATAGATTATAATGGATGTATTATTCTTCTCTGACAGGTAGGAGGGATAACCTTACCTATTATGAAAGAGGCACTCCTACAGGCAAGGAATGGTCGCAGACGTGTTCTTGGTAATGTGAACCTGTATTCTTTTTGAACTTTTAAACCCCTTGAGTTAATAATTTGAGCCATTGCAATTTCTAACAGAGTGGGTATAGCCAAGTTTAGAATTTATATTATGGCTCTTAGACATTGAATATTGTTGGATGGCACATTGATATATTTTATTGTATGATTATTTCTATACCACATGGATTTGCTTCCTAACCGCTCTTCTCTTATCCTATATATCTCTTATTAAGAGTGTCTTAGTTAACATTAACTTTCTTTCTTATACATGTTCCTAATGAATTGGGTTTTCTTTATATGCTTAGCCACATGTACTTTAAATCTGCACTTCATTTATTCTTCAGTCTCAAATATATATCAGACATGTGCATGGCTTGAGTTTCTAACCATAGATGGTGGCATGCCAACTGTTTATTGCCTTGTGCAACATGTATTCTTTTTGGAGATTAATGAAGCATTTGGATTGCCTTTCTGGTGTTATTACTCACAGATACATGAGCTTCTTTTTATTTCCTTGGGCTGGAGAGTTCTGTGTGATTACTGACATGCTCTAGCTGTAGAAATGCTATCCAAGAAATTATAGAATTTTGTCATCTTTTAAACTAATTTATTCTTTTTTTATTCTGTATCCTCTTCTTCTTGATTGAACTCTTTAGCTGAAATGATGAAATGTTCTCCTCCCCCTGCAAAAGGTCTCTCAAAGTATGCTCCACTTATTCATATCATGAAGGTGTTCATCTTAGACCCATCCTTTTGTGTGGTTCATGATAACTGACCATCTGTGGTATCTAATGTGTTCTATGCCCTTTGCGATGTCATTTTAGGTTGCTCCAGAGAAAGTTAACATTATTATTGGTTCTGGTGGGAAGATGGTGAAAAGCATTATTGGAGAAACTGGAGTTGAGGCTATTGACACACAAGATGATGGAATTGTAAGATCCTACATGACCTTACTTTTTATTGAATTGGCATGATCATTTCACTACGGAAGGTTTCTTATCTATGCTTTTTACAGGTAAAAATCACTGCAAAGGATTTGTCAAGTCTGGAGAAGACCATATCCATTATTAGCAATCTGACAATGGTTCCAACTGTCGGTGATATTTACAGGTATTTCTTTCAGTTTCCTTTCCCATCAGATAAAACAGAGAACACAGTTAAAATTTCTATTACCATCCTGCAGTAAAGTTATCTTAAAACTACATATAGGAGATGTGCTCAATAGAGGCTCAAGCATTATTTCTGTTTGTCAAAGTACATGGGTTTGGTTCCTGCTTTGGGCCTTGGGAAACTTTTTTTAACCAAGATTGATTGCCTTCTGGACAAAACTTGACAAAGGTTACAAATTATTATGGGGAGGTTAGGGAACTAATTGTTGGTCATGGTTTTTTATTCTTGGGACCATACTTGAATGTCTTATTCAGTTAAAGTGGTGCTACTATTCAGTGTAGGAAACAAATTTTTAAGTTCTAAACTCTGTACCTCTGGAAAGTCTATCCTTTCTTGTTTGCACCTGTAGCTTGTTGATGTAGACTTGGGAAATATTTTATTCTCTGTCATCTTTCTAATCAGGAACTGTGAGATCAAATCAATAGCTCCATACGGTGTTTTTGTTGAGATAGCTCCAGGGCGTGAGGTACATATTTTTATCCTGAAATTCACAATTTTTGCCAAAAGCTTAATGTTTTTACATTCACCTTACTTTTAAGTTTTGGTAATATAAAATTTGGTTTTATATATAAAGTTTTTCCTTTGCTTTAAATTACAGTTTCATTTTTTTTTTTTATTTTGGAATTCATAAGATGAGCATGACAACTCTTATCAGTCTTTATATGTGTGTGTGTGTGTGTGTGTGTGCACTATTATTGGTGATATCTTTTGTAGTTGTCACAACTCATGACTTTTCTTTTCATAACAAAATAATTATGAATTGAAGCAGTGGACTCCATTGAAATATTGAATTAAGTGTCCCATGGTGTTTGAAATACTTACAATTTTATAAAGGAATTTATCTGAGATTTCATAGTAATGAGAATTAGGAAGAAGGAAAGATTCAAATATATCACGAAATTTGTTTTCTCAGGGACTTTGCCATATTAGTGAGCTGACTTCAGACTGGTTGGCCAAGGCAGAAGATGTAAGCATAGTTTTCTTTCCCTCTCAATTTCTTTTATCCTCAACTTACAGATGAGTTGATCACTATGAACTTTTTATTATTGTTAAAATTTTTTGCCATTGTAGGCTTTTAAAGTTGGTGATCATGTTGATGTTAAACTTATTGAGGTAAGTAACTTATTTTTGTCTTGTTGACAAGCTTATATTCAATCATAAATTAAATATGGCAAATGTCGTCCAATTAAAATTGATTTATCCATGCATTTTGGTGCTGGGTACCTACTAATCCTTACTCTGTATTGTACCAGTAGATTACCAATCTTCACTTTGTATCAAAAACTTGATATTCTATGCTTTTGCTTCTGGCTTCCTACTGCTTAATATATGATTTTTATTATATGCTTTACTGGATGTTTTAGCCATTATTTTGTTCACATGTTCACACAATACTCCGCCATTCTACTGGCTTGAGCTATATACTAGTTCTATGAATGTTAAACATATAATCAGTGAGATTTTAAAAGTGGCTTCTAAATTTTTACCCTTCATCTTGTAAATCCATCAAAGAGCTAGATTGTGACAGAATTCTTATTCTTCTTCTTTCTCTGTACTTTTCCCTTTCTTCAAAGAATATCTGTCCATTAACTGTGTCGTCTAACGCAGGTTAATGGTAAGGGACAACTTCGCCTTAGCCGCCGAGCACTTCTTCCTGTTCCTGAAACAAATCCAGAGGAACCCAGTTCAAAGCAGCCTACTGGCGACACTGCTGAAGTTATTGCTGATTCTGATAAAGCATCTGACAAAAGTACACCTAAAAAATATGCAACCGATGCCAAAGCAGATGCTTTAGCTGAAGAGAAGATTGAACAAGTCAAAGATAAAAGTAGTGCTACCAAACTTGCTAGCTCACCCGAAAGTAATTCTACAGAGAACACTCTACTGCCACGAAAGAAGGCTTTTAAGAGAATAAGGAAGAGCAGCAGTAAAGCTGTCACTGGTGTCTCTGGCAAAGATGGAGAGTAGTCGATAACTGAATGGAAGTATTATTGTGCTTATAAGTTATAATATGCTAACAATTTTTTTTTTTTTGGTCTCCAGTGACCTTGTGAGGAAGGTGACAGAAAAGCTTCCACACTTTAGAAGAAATAGAGGTATGGCTGACCTATTTTCTTCTGTTCACTGTCTCTCTGCAGTTTAATCTGATATGGTTATGGATAACCCACAATAAGAACATCTTTCTAATCTTGCTAGTTGCGTGTGGTTTATAAGAACTCTGGACCTTAGTTCAGGGTTGACGATGGACTTGTAATTTCTAATAGGGTAAGTTTTTGAAATGTCCACGATGTTGCGTACTAATTGAGCATGCAACATTAATTATAACTGGGAAAAAAGGAAAAGGCACTAAACATTTCGACGGTACAAACAATGCTTGGATTGTCTCAAATGGATGAAATGGCTACTGGATGCTCATTTCCCTAATCTTAGTAGGTTTAGATGGCTTGCAACCGAACTCTATTGTGTACGTCTTGTGAATTGGCTAATATTAGATTCTTTTTGCAGGTACATTCATCATAACATAACTGGAATCCTGCACTTGGTCTGTGAAATCTGATTCAGTAGCCGGTGTGGAACCTAATGAGATGTTGCTTCCACAGAGTAATGTTATTAAAGAAGCCAAAGGCAGAAAAGCTTGGCACAGCTTTATCTCAAGTTTTGTTTCAGTAAAAACATTTTGCTAGATGCTTGGAAAGTTTCGACGTATTGATTTTATGCTCTACCCCTGCTACCCTTTTTGTGTGCAAAACTTGAATTACTTTCATTCAATGTTCATTTAAAATTTATTGATTATTCATGTTCAACTCAAAATCATTTTATTTTCATAATACTGTGTGGCTGTTTGGTCGGACAACGCATGTCCAATTGTTTTTTCTTTTTTTTTGATAAAATGATAAGTTAATCATTAAAATAAGGAACGGTACAAAATTGTTTTAGCAGAGTCGGCCATCATTAAAATCTGTAGAAAGTTGGGAGGTTCAAATGCATTACAAAACACGGATCGGTCATGTCAGCATTGGAGCTGGTATTACAGAAGTCCCCTTTTTTGGGGTCATAGCCACCACCTTTTCTTGCGAAGGCATCGGCGCATTGATTGGCATCAAGGAAGATACTGGTTCAACATAATCGTGCAATCATGAATGAGAGGTTCAAGCACAAGGTTAGCAGAATGAGTGCATGGAGCAGTAATGAAGCTAATAACTGCAGTGGCATCGAGCTCAATTTCCAGGCGTTCAATTCGCTTGGAGATGGTAAGAGTAAGACTATCTCTAAGTGCCCCGAGCTCAACTTCCACATTAGTACTTTTTCAATGAATCTGAGGGAGCTAGCTGCCCAGTTGCCCATGTGATCCCTGGTAATAGCTCCTGCACCAGCTCGGCCTGGGTTATCAATGGCTGAGCCATCAATGTTAAGTTTATACCATGCAGTATAGGGGTCGCTCTATTTTGTTAAAGTAGATTATCTTACATTTAATAAATATTTAATTTTTTATAATTTTATATTTAAATTAAAATTTTTTATTTATAATTAATTGATTTTAAATTAAATATTTAATATGATATTAGTGTCAAAAAAATATTTTTTATTACCTTTTTCTAAATAAATTCTTTTTAATTTTTTTTATATATGTGATGAGAATGTATTAAAATAAATATTTATAATTAATTTTAAATTAAATGCTTAACACACTTTGATTGAAGGAGGGAGAGAGAACGGCGGGTTGGTGATCAGAGATGGCGTAAAACTACGTGGCTTTACTCGAGGCTCGTTGAACAATGGAGAAGCTTAGGTTGGTATCCCTGAATACAGCGGCATTCCTTGCCAACCAAATTTCGGTGTATGAAAGTAAGTTTCCATGGCATGTGCGGGTCTTGATAAGACAATTTAGAAGTCATCTAGAGTTTGAGCCAAATGGTGAGAGGAATGAAGAAGTGATCAAAAACCTTAATTAATTTACGTAATTATTTTTTAAAATTTTTTAATAAATTTCATATTTAAATGTTAATATTTTTTATTTTCAAATTAAGGGTTTTTTTTAAAAATAATTTTTAAGAACTTATATTAATTTTATGAATATTTATAAATTTATATTAAAATATTAAATAATTTAAATTAATTTCTTTTTATCATTAATTTCAAACTTAACCATAATTTTTTACATTATTTAAAAATATTAAATTTCTATGCATACAAATTTTATCCCTTGAATTAAAAAACTTGGAATTCGTAATTATCTTCTGTGGATAGGGACGCATTTTTCCTTTCTAAATGTTTCAAATAAAAGATACTATAAAACGATTTTTCATTTAACAGAGTACTTTTTTTTCAGTTATTGTAAAGTCCGAAGTCCAAAGCCCAGTATAAAACCCTGCTCTCTTGCTCTTCGCTCTTCTTTCCCGCCACTTTCTCTCTTCTTTTTCTTTCCTTATTTCTTCCTTTTCACTCAAATAACTGAGAATAAGCAAAAATTTCTTGAAAGATGTTGTGGGTTGATAAATACAGACCCAAAACTCTAGACCAAGCTATGGTTCATCGAGAAATTGCCCAGAATCTCAAAAAACTGGTACCCATTTTTTCTTTACTTCTTTAAAAAATTTTCTATTTAGTTTTAAATGCCTAATTTTTTCCCTTTTTCTTTTTATTTGTTTCAACTTCATGGATTTTTTTTCTTTGAATTAAACAGGTTACAGAGCAGGATTGCCCTCATTTACTCTTCTACGGGCCATCTGGGTCTGGCAAGAAAACCCTAATTATGGCTCTTCTTAGACAGATCTTTGGTCCCGGTGCTGAAAAGGTCTATTTTTTTTCCTTTTTTTTTTTTTTTTTGCGAATCTTTAATTTTTTCCTCCGATTTTAATTTTTGTTTTTATAATTGTTTTGTTAAGTGGGTAAATATTTAAGTTCCGTTGTGATTTTTTTTTCTTATTTTATTTGAGGGCCTTGAAATTTCGTGGGTTTTGAACAAAAAGAAGAAGAAAAAGGGAAAATTGAGTTGCATTTCCATTTTTCTTCTTGAGTTTTGAGTTGGGTTTTTTGTCATAGAATTAAGGGAGGAAGTTTATTGAGTTGTTTTCCATTGGATTACTGGTTTTTTTACCTTTTGTTGGTTTTCTTGTCATTGAGCTTAGAAGAATCATTTTGTTTGTTTGGTTGCAGGTGAAAGTGGAGAATAGGAATTGGAAAATTGATGTAAGCTTCACATAATGATGTAATTTTCATATCAAAGTTTCTCGACATAGTAAAATGTAATATTCTGTTGTATGCATGTGTGAATAATGCTTTCATTGTAAGAATAAAAATGTCAAATGATGACTTGCATATTAGAGCACTGAGATTGACTTTTTCATGCCTTCATCTATCAAAGGTATCCTGGAAGCTTTCTTTTAGTCCTCAATCTTTAAGAGACCTTAATAATTGATTTTACAATTTACCATTATTAACTTTTTATTCTACAATGGAGCTTATTGTTATATTGAGCATTTATGATCCATTCTTGATGGAATCATTGCCTATTTTTTCCTTTCTGCTCTCTAACTAGAATTTCCACTTTTCATTTTATTTCAGGCGGGAAGTAGAACCATTAATCTAGAGTTGACCATGTTATCAAGCACCAACCATGTGGAGTTGAGTCCAAGTGATGTAGGCTTTCAGGATAGATATATAGTTCAAGAGATAATTAAGGAAATGGCTAAAAATAGACCTATTGACACCAAAGGGAAAAAGGATATAAAGGTAATTCTCGTATTACATTCTCTCCAACCTATTAAATCCCTGTTTCATGCCTCTCTACTGGAATTCAGTGTTAAAATATGTCTAAAAAATGGCATTGCATATTTATCTTTAGTATTTAGTTCCGGATTTAACATTAATTGGGCTTGTCCTTCATATTTATTATGTCTATTTGTTATTATTCTTAATGCTTATTTCAAGTTGGTAGGTTTTTCTCTCCTTAAAATTTAGAGTAATTGCATATAAGTTCACTATTTTATTGACATAATTTCTTATGAAAGTTAGTGCTAGTACTCAATGAAGTTGACAAGCTTTCAAGAGAAGCCCAGCATTCTCTCCGTAGAACGATGGAGAAATACAGTGCTTCTTGCCGTCTAATTTTGTGCTGTAATAGTTCTTCAAAAGTCACTGAAGCAATTCGGTCCCGTTGTCTGAATATCCGAATAAATGCACCTTCAGAAGAACAGGTTGGCAAAGTTCACTATTTTTTATTAATATTTGAAAAGATACATAGATAAATTCTGAAGAACTTTCCTTAACCCTTTGTCAACCATCAACCCCTGTAATGGGTTGTCACCAAAAAGTATGATGTTTATATGCATTTTATTTTCCATGAAGAATCTTTGTTCTCTTCCTGTCTGGCTTCTTATCGGTGAGTTGAACTTTATTTCTTTAAAATTCTCTATGCCAGATCATTAAGGTGTTGGAGTTCATTGGAAAGAAAGAAGGGCTGCAACTTCCATCTGGTTTTGCAGCCCGCATTGCCGAAAAGTCAAACCGGAGTTTAAGAAGAGCTATATTGTCATTTGAGACTTGCCGTGTTCAACAGTTAAGCTCGGTGTTATCTTTTATAGATCAATAGTGCTGCAATGCATATCAATTCTGGAACTTCCCTATATATGTGTTTTTGTACTGTATTCCTGATTATAGGTACCCTTTCACAAGCAACCAAGCAATCCCGCCAATGGATTGGGAGGAATATATATCTGAAATAGCAACTGACATAATGAAGGAGCAGAGCCCTAAAAGGTTTCCAGTGCAGCAACTTAAACTATCTTCTTTCTCTGTTAGAAAATTGCTGCAACAGTTACATAATTATTTTCAGTACATATTTGGTAATGGGTTAGTTAATTACTAAAGCAAAGTTCCTATGTTAAAGATGTACTAGGTAGGATGACTAGAAGTGAATTAGGATATAAATGTCCTTAATGGTATCCTTTTTCAGTATCCTGCTTCCAGCTTTCTTATTAAACCTTTTTGTGTGTGCTTTAGGCTGTTTCAGGTTCGAGGGAAGGTGTATGAATTGCTTATTAATTGTATCCCTCCAGAGATTATCTTGAAGGTAAATACAGCTCAATGTCATGTTGTAGTCTGATATCTTCTCCAATTAAAGTTTATTTTCCTTGCTGTCTCAGAGGCTCCTTCATGAATTATTGAAGAAATTGGATGCAGAACTAAAGCATGAGGTGTGCCACTGGGCTGCATATTATGTAAGTTCAATAATCTATCCTATCTTGCATGCTTTTATAATTGATGTTGTTCCTTTCACTTCTAATCTGACGAGGTAGTATGTATTATCTTCTCTGACCAACATGAGATATCTGTTTTCTTATGGTTAAATTGTGACTGATTATTGTGTGCTTCATAGAAAATAATCATTAGCATATTGACCTTGATTCTCAGCTCAATTCTTTGGCCTTAAAACGAAGCCAGTATTCTCCCAAACCTTGGGTTTCCCTCTATTCTGCAAAACCCCAAACTGAAAAGTGAAGGAAAAAGAAGAATGACATAGATTGATCAAACATTCATGCTGCTATTTGATTGCATTTTTTTAACAAAAAATTGGGAAGAAGTTTAAAGAATCACCTAATTTACTTGCACAAAGCATAGTCCACAAAAATTCTTATTTCTCACTGGTGCAAATTAAAATGGATTATGCTTTTGGTGAAAGAAATTCTTAAATTTTTTGTACACGGTGTAAATTGGATTCTTCTTGGATTTAATTTGAAGATATCATGCCCATCAATGGCAGATCACAACCAAGTCATGAGGGGATTGGTAGAAATTTTCAAGTAATCGTGAAATGAGCGATAATTTTAGAGTTATGTGATACATTTTAGCATATGCTGGTGGCATGTAAGATGTTTTTAGGGTGATTGGATCTGGTGCTATTTTTTATGGAATGCTGAAAGTCATGAGGCATCACCCTGCTTAATGTAAAGCAATACTACTGAATTTAACTCTAGCTCTATTTCTTTGTACTAATATTTTGACTCTTCAATTTCTTTTAATTTTGCAGGAGCATAGGATGTGTCTTGGACAGAAAGCCATCTTTCATATTGAAGGTAGAGAAATTTTTCATTTTTGGATTGAGTGAGCTCTTATTCCATATGAAACCACTTAATTGTCCTTGAAAGTGAGAGAAATGTTTGTGAATTGAAGTAGACATTTCTCCATTTTCCTACAAATAAATATCTGTGGACTATGATCAGTTAACTAATATGGGTATAAAATGAGATTCAGATGAGGCCTAAAATGTTCTTATCTACTAATTACTTCAATAAATGTCACATAAGTGGTCATGTCCAAGACACAGCAAATTTTTTATTTCTTGGGCTAATGGTCATCCATTAATCCCAAGTAGTTGAAAATTTAACATTCTTTCGTTGATAGGTGAGCAATATTTTATATTCTAATGTGAGTTTTAACATATGCTCGCATTGCGGGTTTCTCGCTTGCTTGTAGTAGAAATGTTGTTTAATCCATTGTGCCAAAGCTTGGAAATCATGTTAGTTGGCTATATTGTAAAAATGAAAGGACTTATAGCCTATATTCAACCAAAATCTTAGAGATCAATTTCTGAATAATTGGTAGATAGAGTTGGCTTCTGATATATTTCAATTGCATGACATAATGTATCTCTTCTTTCTGACACATTGCTCGACAACGTGTTTCGCAGTGTAGTTTTTGGTAATCAATATCATTCATTGTTTTTTTCTTATCAATTTTGTAGCATTTGTTGCCAAGTTCATGAGCATTTACAAGGCTTTTCTGATTGCAACATTTGGCTGAAGAACCCAACCAGCAGCATCCTCACCTTTCCATCTTTTGACAGATAATTGCAATGAGACTGTTAGCATTGTTGTAATGAGTACCGAGCAAGACCCTGCATTTTTAGTTTTAGCATATAATTGCATATGGTCTTTAGCATGCCTTGTTTTCAGTTCATTTTTTCCTCGTGGACGTAATTTGACAGATGATAGAAACTGATTCCGGCTGACGATAATAATTTTGAGCAAGGACTAACTTGCAAAATCGGGAATTTCAAATAAGAGTAATATACAATTATCTAATTACTCTATTAATTTCTTTTATCCACATGTCTAGACATTTATGTAAATGATTTTTTTAAACAGACACCTATTTGGTATAAGGTTTTCATGATAACAATCCTGTAATCTCACGTAGCACATCTATCTGTTTATTTTTGTATTGTTGTATTAGTTTTTAATCATTTTAATTTTAAAACAAATTAGTCTATCGATAGGGATAACAAATGAGTTGAAATTTTTATTTTTTAATTTTTTTAAATTATAAAAAATATATATATTTAAAGATGTAATTTTTTATGTGTGAGATTAAGTTAAATTTTTTTACCTTTTTCTTTTTTAAAAATATTTAATTATATTTTTAAAAATATAAATATTTTTATGTAAAGGGCTTATATCAAATTTTCATATTGGTTTTTTAGCCTTGTTAACTTTTTTTTTAAACAATGTTTAATAAATAACTCTTTTAGAATTTTTTTTATGGGACCATTTTTATATTAATGATATGTGTGTATGTGTGTATATATATATATTATTTTTTATATTTGTAATAAATAATTTTTTATATCATATTTTTTAAAATTCAGTTGATATTAAGAGTATATCATATATTAAGTTATTTGATTTTTTTTTGTTTTTTTATTTATTTTTTTATATTTTAAAATTTCTTTAAATATGAGGCATATTTGATATGATTATAAAAATATATATTTTTCTTTTATTGTTATTTTTTAATTTAACGATTTTTAAAGAAAAATATTAAAGTAGGTGTCAGTGTCACACTCAATTTGATTTTCTCTTTTTTCGGTCTTTTTTTAATTTTTTAATTCATGATATTAATTATAAATTTTTCAAGAAAAAAATCATTTCAAATGTTGACTCAATTTTTTTTTTTTATTTTTTTCTTTATATATATTTATACTTCCTTTCTTAATGTAAGATCATTTTTTGAAAAAAAAAAAAAAAAAAAAAAAAAAAAAAAACAAACAAACAAACAAACGAATTTGTACATGTGACATCTTATTTCTTATTTTTTATTTTTTAATTAATTAAATTATTATTTAATATTTTAAAAAATTAATATTTTTAACTAAATTGAGATGTCACATATTACCTCAATAAACTTCCTTCTCCTTTTTTAAATTCTTTTTTTTCTTTTTTTTTATTTTTATCCCTTTATTATTAAATTAATTTTGCTATAATAAAATAAGACAATGAAAATGTTTATGTGGTATTCTATTTGTCTTTTTTTTTCTCTTTCACCTTTTTCTACTTATAGTTAGATAAATTTTATAATAAAATGTGACAATTGATAAAAATATCAAGATAATATGTATAGGGCTAATATCAATCCACCTTTATTTGATACAGAACGATTTTTTTAAATCAAGATCAATTGAAATGAGTCAAGTTTTTCTATAAAATATGACATTAGAGTGAAAGTGTATTTAAGATATTTTGTTTCAATTCATTTTGGGATATATACAAAAATATATCTTATTATTAATGTAATTTTACATTTGTATATATATATATATATATATATATATTACATTAATACAATAATTATTTAATATTCTAATTTTACAAATTAATATTTTAAACGTGGTACATTTTATGAACTCCTTTTTTTCATTTTTTTCGTTTTTTTTTTACTTTTCACAATTTATTTTGTTTTTAATTTTTTTAATTAAATATATCTTGTGATATCAAGGTTATTCACGTGTCATCCTTATTTGAGGTTTTTTTTTTTTACTTTTTTGTTTTTTTAATTAAATAAATTTTCAATAAAATGAATAACGATGATAAAACAAATAAATTTTAATCCATAACTTTTTTATTTGATAAAAAAATCAGTATCCAATAAATTTCAATCCATCTCATTTCGATATAGATATTTTTATAAAAACCAATATTGAATCAAGTTGGGTTTGTTTTTTATAGAAAAATGAGTACGAGTAAAAAACAAATTTAAGGTGCTCTACTCAAGTCATTCTGTCGTTTATATAAAATATATATCTTATTATCTATTTAATTTTATATAAATTTTGTAAAAAAATAATGTTAAACAAAGTGTCCATATAGTGTATTTTTTAATATATTTTTTAAATTAAATTGATTTTATAATAAAATAAATCAATTAATAGAGATGACAAAATAATCAATATCGATATAATTATATTCATGTCAATTTAATAAAGATGCTTTTGTAAAAACTTATATCAAATAAATTCGAGATAAAAGACTAATTTGAATATCCATGTGTTAACCTCATTTGAGTTATTTGTATTATTTGCTTTTTTTTAATTGCATAAAATTTTTAATAAAAAAATTGATAAATATGAATATCTAAAAAAAAATTTTGACCTACGACCACACAGATACTCAACTACTAATTTGTTGAATTTTCCATAAGCACTTTATATCAACTGAAGAACACGCTTATGAGAATAATATCAATAAATATAATGTATGACATGAAGGATGGAATGTTAGTAACAACTAAAGCTTGTTATTTCTGAGGCAAATCAAAGAAAATCTGGTGGAACTTGGTTCATGGTTGCTGATTTGTTTTATTTTAATCTCTCATTATCTGTTATGAGTTGTTCTGGACTTATTGGGTAACAGAACTTCCTAGTAGCACATCACTGGCTTCTTTTTACTGGCAATTTCAACACTGCATCACTCTCTTGGAGAGTATTAAGCTACTCCTGTTGGATTTCTTCATAATTGAATTGTGCCATTTTGTATGATGCTATAGTGAACATGCATGGAGTAAATTATTTTAGTTTCTGTCATGATCATCTGAACTGATTCAGCATGCCATAAGTTGAATAGTATATAATTAGTTAAAAAAGAATGATGTTCAGAGGCAGGTAGGATATAGATAATGAATGTGCTTCTTATCAATCAAATCTTTTATTTGAAGAACATAATCTCTTAAAGGGCCCTTACATTGTAATTTCATTGGATGTGTTGGATTTGAACCCTAAAGATATGCTTTCTGAACATTTGCTATGCCTGATATTACTCTTTTTGCATAACCACAAAATATAAACACAATTATAGTCCTGGCAAATGATGACTTTAATTGTTTGGCTTTTGTGCAGATGGACATACAATGATCCCCTTCGGGCAAAATACAATGCAAATATGGCAGCTGTTAATGCAACTATAGCGAAACCAGAAGGAAGCAAGAAGTTGAAGGGTTGGGAATTGAAATGAATGCTAGTCTATCCATCATTTGACTGGAGAGTTTCATCTTTTCTTTTTCCCGACTGGTGGCACGTTTCTTCGCCAACAGTACAGTGATTGATGCTCATGTCACGCCAAGAGCGGACAACATGCATTAACCTTGTATCGGATAAGAAAGAAAAGTACGTTAGGCGTATAAATATTAGTGTTACATATTTTAATAAATTAATTTTGTAAAAAAAATAATGATCACGTGATAAATGATAATTCAATTTTATGTCAAATTTTTTAGTACGAAATAAGGTAAAATTGACTAATTTAATCATTTAATAAGATGTCAAGATAATATATAGTAATAAAAAGTTAGACCATATTAAATATTTCAAAAAAAGTAGGTAAGATGTAATCTTGACGAGAGTATCACAAACAAACATGAATAAGAGAGAATATCATACTAAGATATTAAGATAAGACATGGTGATAAAAAGTTTGACCATGTCAAACATTTAAAAAAAAATAAGTAAGGTGATAGCGTTGATCAAAATATTATGAAATTGGATAAAAAAAAATATCATGTTAAGTACTTAATAAAATAAATATAATAAATTAATTTCACATCAAATAAGAAAGGAAAGATTGTTGAATATATAAACGTTGACATTCAACATTCAACAAGCTGGTTTTACAAGCAAAAGATAATGGCCATGTAACACTTCCATTTGGCATATAAAATAGAGATGTTAAAGATTAATGAATCATGACTTTGGCATTTTGCCTTTTAGCGTTGGGGAAACTGGATGCAGCGGGGAAGTCAGAAATATGAAAAAGGAAGGGTTAAATAGTAATTTTATTAAGAAAAAGAGAATCAAGTATTATTTTTGGTGGTTTGAGGAATTCTGTTACGATAGCGTAAAAAAATTTCGGGGGGATCACGACCCCCACCAGTCCCCTGGCTACACCCCTGGCTCTATGTATGATGAAGTAAAATTGTTTCAATCGATTGCAGTTTAAGATTAATTGATTAAATTTTGTTAAATTATTAGATTTCGTCTATTTGATAATTCAACTAAATCAAAATTAAATTTTAATTAATTATAATAAAATATTATAAATTTAAATTATTATTAAATTTTAATTTTAAAATATTTTTGATCTTTTAATTTTTTTTTATATAAGATGTTTTTGAAAATAAGAATTTAAACTCTAAATCTGGATATTATTTCCTCATTAATCAATTAAGTTAAATTTCTGGTTCAAACTGTTTCTTTATTAGAATACAAAGAACTCATCGTCAAAGACCAAAAAATAGAAAAAAAACTTTGTGAAAGAGACAATTAATGTGAAAGATGACAAAAAGCATGCAAAGAATCTTAAGCATGAACTGGTTATAAAAAACAGAAATTCATGGTTTGTTGCAATTAATAGAATAGCCTTACACCATTCTCTTTCTCTATCCACGCTGCAACTATAAATTCAGCCTCCACAAATGGAAAATTCTTGTGGCAAACATTTTTTTTCCCTAAAAGTGAAATAAAAAGGTTGACAAAAACAGGGGAAATCCACCTAATCTAATATGCAATTGGTATTTGAAAGAAATGGGGAGTCATATTCCTTTAGGATTTGCTCTCCCCAATTCAAGAAAGATGACTTGAAGTTTGAAGTTGAAGAGAATGGGTTGCTCAAGGTGACTGGGGTCAACAATGATCAAAGCCTGTGCTTCATTTGTGCTAAATATCGACTCCCCAATGATGCCAATGCCAATCGGATTGCGGTTTCCAGTGTTTCATCTACCAATGGTCATTTTACCACTGTTACAATTCCAAGGATGACGGAAGGATCAGTTGATCTTCAGCTTAGATTATGACACCAATACTTTGCTGTTGTTCTTTTCACGAAATGGAAGTTTTCCCAAAAATTAAATTAAAAAAAAATAAGGATTAATTAGGAATTTCCCAAGAAAACTTTATTCTCGTGGTCCTTATCAATACTATGTTTAATATGAAATAAAATATCAGATTAAATATCTTTTAAATATTATCTCAGAATTTAAAAGTAAATATTACATATATTAGGGAAACTAGCAATGAAAGACCTATTGATATTGTGAAGTTCAAAAGGGAAAAAAATAGTTTTTGTAGTGAATATAATATGATTTAATTGTATAATTGAATAAATTCTTGTATGAGTGAAAGCAAGCATGAATTCGAAAAAAATAAAATTTCTTCAGTGTGTTTTTTCAGAGGCTATTTGGCCCTTTGGGCTTTGGTTTTTGAGGAAGAATTGATGGGTTATGAGTACTGGGGATGGATTTCATATATAATTGAGTTACTTGAAGCCCATTTTTTTATATGTTTGAAGCCCAAATCTTTGATAAGATTAAAGCTTATTTAGAATTGGTGTCACGTTTGTTTTCCAGCTTTTCTTTTCTGTCTCCCATGGCAGAAGAATTTCCTGAAGAAGTCAATTCCCCACAGCCTCCTCCAGTAACTCTCTCTTTTCTCTCTATTTACTTTAAATTTCTATATGTTTTTATGTGTGTATGTTTGTATGTTCATGTATGTGGACTGATGCTGGCAGTGGTGGGATGGCAATTGTCTCATATAATTGTGATATTGATTGAAACTTTGAATTTTGATGCTAGTTTATTAATGGGGTTTATCAATTCTCATCAGATGTTCCATAAAAAAACTGATTGATATTTTGATTGTCTGTTGTTCTAGATTTTGAGGGCAGTGACACTGATTGGATTATTTGTTTTTAAAATGCTTTTGTTGAATATGTAGTTTTTGGAGGTTATATGCAAAAGTTCTGGTAAGAAAAGCCGGTTTGCAGTGGGTACCAAGGCCGGATTTGCAGTGTCATTGATTAATAGAAAGTTGGGTATTGGAGCTCCTCTTGCTTTGCATATTGAAGCAGTTAAAGAAGGGGAGGAACCCATTAGCTTTGGCCCTGATGCGGTTCTTGTTAATTATGACAATGGTTGGAAGTTGCAAACAGTTACTGAATTGGATTTTCCAGGTAATTGAGTATTATCAATTCAAAATATATTGTGATCTGGAATGTTGCAATTATGTAGGTTCTGATTTTTCATACCCTTGTCTGTGTTTTGGTTTAGGCACCAGAAAAGAAGATGCTGTTCGTGGAGTTTCAACACAGATCCCTTTTGTAAAGGTAATAACTTCCTCTGGTATTTCTTTCCATTCAATAATTTAATTAGGAGGTTTTCAGTGGAAAGTTTTGGTTATGCTTTGATGAGAAAGAACAAATAAATTATGGTAAGTCATAATCTGGATAAAAAAACCTGAAGAGAAAACCTAAAACCCATTTCATTGGGTCCCTTAGAGAGTAGAGATAGTCTAGTTAAGAATAACATCTCCCTGTTTAACCGCGAACTTTTTTTTTATGTACGAAAGGGGCTACAGCCTGGGAATAAGAGAAGGGATTGCAGGTACTGAGATTTGAGGTCCTGACCTGTTAGATGCCACCTCTTAAAGGTGGTTGCATGAACCAACTAAGCTAAACTCCAAGTCCAACTTTTCCCCCTTCAGTTGCATATCTACAGCTCTAAGAATATTCAGAGTTATAGTAGTATTGTAGTAGTTAATACACGGAGGAAGTGTTTGTAAAGAGTGAATGCTAAATGGAAAACCTTCCATACTGTGATGACTACACTTGCTGCTCCCTCATAATGTATGCTAAAATTTGAGGTTCTATCACTACTGTAACTTATTTAAAAGCTTATGTACCTTTAATTAAGTAGTCTTCTTCATCATCTATGTTGATATGTTCATCTCTTTCCTTCACGAAATACGCTAGGGTTGATGATGCTTTATCATTTCCTGCCTTAAAATGTTTTATATGCTTGGCTGAAATACATTTTTTTTCTTTGTTTTCAATTTGACAGAACTTTGATGACTCTCATTCTGCTAAGGGGGCTTCAAAACCAGGAATCAGTTTTCTTTACATCGCAAAAATACTGGCAGCTTTTATTTTGATGTTCGTGTTGGCTGGAATTTTCATGTTGGCTCTTGAGAATCTTCCTAGACTAATTTTGTTTATTAACTCGTCCATGTAACCGTGTTTCGATCTCAAAAATATATTTGATTTCTGCATCTTTGAACTCTTTGGAAACAAAAGCACTGCAGGGCCTAAAGCTAATTCTGCTATATAACTTATGCTTTTTCTGTGTTGAGTGGTAAAGAGTTCTTGGGTTTTACCAATTACCCAGTACATTTCCTTCCTGGGTCGGTCCAAGCATGCTTGTTTACATTGTGCCTGACGAATTCATGCAACAAAATTTATAGCAAGAAACAAAAATCCATAGAAGAATTTTTTTTTTTTTATCAATCCAACGGTTTTTTTTTTTTTTTTGGATCCTGAACTCAAGATTATTTACTTTAGCAAAATATAGAGCTTACAGGAAAGTGACCTCCAATCTTATAGGATTGAATACAAAATGCATGTAGATTTTCAGACTGATATTAGGTACACAGATCATGCTTAATGCACAGGACAATGGATAAGATTAGATGATAATTATCTTATATTATATTTTATTTGTATTAATCATCTTCTTGATATAAATTGATTCAATCATCTTAAAATGAAGAAAATTATTTTAATTTATAGAATTAAATTTGTATGTCTTATTATACTTTTAAAAATTACATTAATAATTAAAATTATATAAACTTTAAGAAATGATAATTTTAACCATTAAATAGATTATCTTATACTAATCTTTAACGCATCAAATATGAAATAAAATAACATTATTTGATATAATCTTATGTATAATATCAGCTTATCTTATCATATTATAATTTTGTATACCCAACAATAAACAATAGTATAACTCTAGATGGAGCAGAGTAAATAAAATCAAGTCCATGAATAATAGCAGCTCTCCTTTCCCAAATACCAGCAATACTGTTTGCTTCCCCGTAACAAAAATGAACCTTAACTTGCACAAAAGAGACAACAAGGACCAAGCAGTCTTCTTGGCTACAAACAAGCCCCAAAGCTTAAACCATAGGTAGCCTCTTTTGTCATTTGTCCCCTGTTCCATCAAAGCTGTCAAAAAATGAAATGGTTCCTTCGAAATTATAGCACTTATGGTTATCTACTTGATTCATTTCTTGAAAGGCTACCTTTTATATCTGAAGTTTAATTATACAATCACTCTTAAAAATAACATACAATAAATCTAAAATTTAAATCTCCACCCTTTCTCTTATTCTCAAGTTGCGAAACTTGACCTTTAATGTAAGAAAAAAAAAATTAACCCTTTACTTGTCGAGAGAAATCTATCTTCAGTTCGCTAATCATTTACATTTTTCAATGAGTTTTCCCATCCTGAGAAAATATGTGACATACAAGCAAGCGACTGATTTAAGGTCATCAAACCTGCCGCAATAGATTACAATTACAATAATTGGGGATAGAAAAAATTACAAGCATACAACATTGAGATTCTTCTCTAAAACTAAGACCAACAAGCATTGGTGCAGACATATTCCACACTTCTCCCTATATCTTTTCTTTATAGTAAATTTTGATTAAGGGGCAATTAAGCCAAAGAGTCCCCAGAGGAGCGATAAATTTCATCTGCATGAGCTGCAGAAACATAGACTGCATCGAGCAGTGAGCTGTGGGTACGGCCATAAAATGCATAAACAAGAACCCCTATTACGAGCCATACAGAAACCCGAGCCCAGGTAGCAGCCCTGACAATGACATAGAACATAGTATGAGAATAATACAAGTGAAAAAGATGTACAAATTGAGTAACCATTTGATGGTACCAAAGTTGTGATTAATTCTCGATGACCAAATCAGCAGCATCCAAAGGCCACGTGAAAATAAGAGAAATAAAGAACAGGTTAATTTAGTTAACACTTACCCCAAATTAATGAGCAGGTAGACATTGATAAGAATGCAGGCAATTGGTAGGAGAGGAACAAAAGGGCATATGAAACCTGAATATATATAAATATATATCAATATTATCTCATTAATTAACCATGCATAAATAGATGAAATCATGAAGATATCAAAATGGGATGGCAAGAAAGCATACCTCCTGTATGTCCAAAGTTATGCCTAGCATCATCTTGATCTATACAGGTGAGCACAATCAGACCAGACAGAAGAAGAACACCACCAGCTCCACATAATGTGAACCGAAGAAGGCTAAAGGAAGACACCAACAACCATTAAACAGAAAGAAAAAACTAAATAATGAAACCATTTAAAAAGATAAAATTCAATGGAAAGATAATAAATAAACTTCAACCATATATACCGCAAACCACTACAAAATGACTCTCAGGGCTATTTTTCTATTATCCTATGTCAATATAAAACACCCCCTCCCCCTTTTTTTTTCATTTCAAGCACCTTAATAAAGAAAACAAAATAGTGGACATAATACATGTCCTACAGCCAAGCGTTGAAAAAAAAAATGGGCTTCAATTCTCTCTCTTCAGCCATATCATTGTATAACACCAGAGCACTGAAATTTCCTCTCCATCTCCCTCTTTTTGATCCCATTTTTTTTATATATAAATATCTGTCTTTTACCCTGTATCATGAAAGTTCCCCACCCCTTTCCCTAACTTATGATACTGAAAAGTTTAATAATGCTTAAGAATAGCAATTGTCTCAGACTCCATTAAGTTTAAAACACTGTCATGATCAACTACCTTGGAAGCCACAAATTTGAAGCTGCATATGTAAGGGTAAATGCCCCTACACATGTTAACATTATGGTCCAGCCAGCAACTTTTCGTCTGTTCTCTTCATCGAGAGTACCTGCAATAATAATTACACAGCCTTCTAAAAGCAAGGAAAAAGCCTTCAAGCACATTGCTTACGGAAGTTAGTGACAAACCAAGACATTGTATGCTGATTATTAAATTAATTTTATATGATTTCTATAACAAAAGGTGACAGAAGGCAAGGAACTTACAACTGGATAGAGCTTCTTGCTTTTCAACAATGGGACAATCAACTGCAACATTCTTGTTTCCAAGCAAAGGCTCAGAACTATCTCCAGAACTCATCTTAGGGTTTCCCCCACTAATCACCTGAGCATCACTACTATATCTTAGTGTGACAGAATCGATTGACTCCTGAAGTGATGATGGAAGTGGCACCTCATCTGGTGGAACGTATCTAAGTATCAGCACAGAAATTGCCACCATAGTAAATGCAAGAAGCGTACCCACGCTAACCTGCAAAAGAAAGGAAACTCTTAGGAGCTCTATATTGTAGGGATATGCATCCAAGGGCCAGTTAATAAGCTTAAAAGTTAAAACTCGAGGCAGAGGAGCCTAGTTCATGGAAACCTTGTGACATCAATTTTTGTGATAAAGCACCTACCTAAAGCAGACTTTTAAGCTGGAATCAAAACTCAGAAAAGAAACTAAAACTGTAAACAGCCTACTAATGTTGTATTGCAAACTTTAAATAATCAATCGGATTATGGCAACAATCAGAGATATATCATTATATGGTTATAAAATTTCCTTTTACTTTCAACTTAACGAAGAAAGGGTCACCACAGCAAGTGAATGCACCCAAGACCTAGCAAACTACAAGCATAGCATACACACAGCTGCAAGTTTAAATCCATATTCAAAATGATAAAATAATAGTGTGATCTACACCATGAGGCCCCAAAAAAGGGAAAAGAATCCAACCCCAATTGCAAGAAATGCTGGCCCTACTTACCATCCCTGCCAATTGTGAAACATCCATGAAGAATGACAATGTAGCAGCAACTATACCAGTTGCCAATGTGCTCTTGACAGGAACTTGGGTGCGTTTATTAACATCTGAAAAAAAGGATGGCAGCAATCCATCTCTAGCCATTGCCATAAGAATTCGAGGCTGAAAACACACAATTAAGTAATATTAAATAACTAAATAATGTAAAAATAAAAATATAAAGATCTATGATCAATCATGTAGATTTAGGTGCTAGGATTTTATTATTTACGGATTAAGATGATAAGTGAGTAGGTTGAAGTTCTGACAACACTAATTAAAAAGTTGATACATATCTTTACATTAATATATATATATGCAATCAACAAGTTTACATCGGTTCTGAAGTCACAATAGAATCCAAATGCTATGATAGTTGAAAAGGATCTCTAGAGTTAGTATATCTTTTGATGCAACATTGAATTGAACATATACTTTGTAGTTCTCATCTTGGGTTATCTTTAGCTCTGCAATTAGAATGATTACCAATAATTCTAATTTGAGACCATCATTTGAGAAAAAATGACAACAGTAATGTAATATGGACAATAAATATGGCCAATTAACATCACATTGATGGAATATTTGCAGAATGCCAAACAATTTCACAGTTACACCATTGGAAACTTGATTTGTACCTGAGGGAGGATAGAGCCCATCAATGTTGAGCAAAGGGCAGTAACAGCTCCAACAGTTATTATGTAACTGAAACAACAAAATAGGAAGGTTCCTCGTGTAAAAAGGTTCCAGAAAACAAAAAACAAGTACAAACACTTTGAATGCACGAACAATACTCACGCCGCCCATCGCATTCCAAGGCTAGAAAATGCAGAAGAGATGGGGGTGTCAGGATCCATTGCATAATAGGGGACCAGACCAACAATCACAACAGACACCAGCATGTACAACCCACAACAAATGGAGAGGGCTGTTGCGATACCCAGTGGCAAATCTCGTTGGGGATTCTTCACCTGTCATACATGATTTCAAATTCTTTAGATCACCAAGAAAAGACAACTTTAAATAAATGGTAAACTGCCATAAGAAAAGAAACCATATACCTCCTCAGCAGTGCTGGCAACCGAATCAAAACCAATATAAGCAAAGAAGACTGTTGCAGACCCAGCAAGCACTCCGTCCACCCCAAAGGGAAAATACCTATTGGATAAATAAGTTAAATAACAATTCTTGAAATTATCATATTGACATGGAAATACAGCAAGAAATGCCAATTACCCAGTAGGTAGTTCGTAACCAGTCCATCCACTCTTAAAACCCAGATAACCACCAGCTACTATCACAAAAATCATGGCACATACATTTGCAGTGGTGACAATGCCTTGTGCAACTGTACTCTGCATGAGAAGTGCAGAGATGCTTTAAATTTACAGTTACAAAGGATGATTGGTCATCAGCCACACAAAGAAAAGGAACTGAAATTGAAAAAGGTGATAGAAAGCACCTCCTTGATTCCCACACACAAGAGCCCAGTCACAATGAAAACCAGAACTGCAGCACATGGGTCCACCATAATATCAAGACCAGGGATATGTTGACGAGCTAGAAAAATTGGTAGACTATTTTCACCTCCAAAAAGCAAAGCCTAGATGCAAAAATCAAAACAAAATAAGTAAGAGTGCAATGCAAGTAGCAAACAAAATCACTATAACCAGTCCAGCCAAAAACAGGAAGGCAAAAAATTTTTGACTAAGAAAAATCATTATAACCAGATTAGGGGAAATGCCACGAGCAACTGCAGCTCCACCAATTGTATACTCCAGTATCAGAGCCCAACCAATCAACCAGGCAACGCTACAAAATGATATTGCTTATATCAGAGGCTGGAAAAATGATAAATCCTCGAGAATAAAGAAAGAAGAAGGATTGTACCCTTACAGCTACTTTTTATTCTTTTATCAAATAAGACTATTATTAAAGCTAAATCCTAACAATCAACTTTTCAAATTGCACGAACAAAGAACAACAGTAAGAAATGTACAAGATAAAACAAGAAAACTAGAAATTACCCTTCACCAACACAAATGTATGAATAATGATAGGCACTCCCAGCAGATGGGCAACGACTTGCAAGCTCAGCATAGCAAAACGCAGAGAGAGCAGCAGCAATTCCAGCTATTAGAAATGAAATGGTAAGAGCTGGACCAGAATGCTCTCTAGCAACTGTTCCAACAAGAATATAAACTCCAGCTCCAATTGTTGATCCAACACCTAATCACAGTGCACCAAATTTCACAATAAGCTATCTATTATAGATATCCAAAAAAAAAAAAAAAGGCAAAGAAACCATAATCTTAAAAGTAAAAGGAACTAAAATATGCCCAAGTCCAAGCTAGAAGAAATAAAATCAAACCAAACAAAACTCAAAAAGAAAAATAACCAATACATCAAAGATATCCATAATACGAAATAAGTAACAAAAACCAGTAATATACAACAAAAGTGTGAATAAAGATCCAAACCCAGCATCCAAAACACCTCAAAATCAATAAATAAAACAGCTAAAAACACAAAACTGGATCAAAATTTCCCCAAAAAGAACTAAAAATAAAACAAATAATCAAATAAACATATTGCTATAAGATAAGAAACAGTTAAACACACAAAAAGAAGATAAAAAATTTTCCCAAATAACAGCTAAACAACACAAAACCAAGAAAGAAAAAAGCTAAAAAACACAAATTCAGGTTCAAATCCCCACATTCCTCTCCCCAAAAAATAGATATCCAATTTTCCCCAAATAAAAAATAAAAAAAAAAGCAAAAAACGCAAAACCAATGTCAAGCTTTCCCGGAAAAATCTAAGACACACAAATCAAGGCAAAAAATTTCCCCTAAAAACATAAAATATTACCAATTGCTATGAGATGAGGAACTGTCAATTCTTTAGCCAATTGATGATGACCCAAACGCTTGGAATGAGCAGAATCTACCTGTTTTCTTCTTACCAAACTCTTTAAACCACCCCATGATGAACCAACACCTTCTTTTTGGGAATCAACCAAAAAACCCATCAAGAATTTCCACCCTAGTTTATCAACTTTCCCCAAATAATTAACGGTACAATTGTTTATAATGATAATTCACAAACTTATCTTTAAAAAATAAATAAAAATTTATGCACAATAAATTACAAAATGAAAACCTTTATTAACATTAAAATCCGCCCCCTGACCCCTTTCAATATATAGATTTGGTTGAACAAACCTTCAATTTTTTTTATGTTCTTAAAAGGGAATCAAAGCGGGCAGATTTTACAAGAGAGAAAAAAGTTTTGATTTTTTTCTCTCTCTCTCTCTTTGTGAATTTTTACTTAGCCTTTTTTTTAAGCAAATGGTATCTTGTGGGTTTTAAAGAAGGAAAAGGGCGCAATGAAACGGCCCGTTGCCCGTTGCCCGTTGCTTAAGAACTGACCAATAGTTGAGCTGCCCAAAAATGATCGACGTCATTTTTTCATGGATAATAATAAACCACTTGCCAATTATTGTCAATAAAAAAATCATTTGTTTTGTAAGTAAACACAACAGAAAAAATTGTTGTCATTGAGGTCAAAATGATAATAAAACGTATATATGAATGGAGAAAATGTTTACGTCATAAATTGATAAAAATCTATAGTTTTAATTGTTTGTTTTCTCAAAATTTGTTGGAAAATCCACCCCAAAAAAATTGGAAAATAGCATTAAAGTGATGGAGTCTTGACAAAAATAATTGTAATACCAAAGTAACATGTGGGTGAGTAATGTTATGCAATAAAAATGGGTTCCATGACAACCCTTTCCTATCATATTATTTCCTCTGTTTTTTTTTTTTTTTTTATGTTTCAAAATTATGCCTTTTTTTTTATAATTTAAAACTTTTTTTTATATTTTTAATTATTTTTTTATGATTTTTTATTTTTTGATATTAAAAATTATAAAAATTTTATTTTATAAAAAAATTTAATTTTAATATTTAATACATTAAAATAATTTTTTTTTCTTAAACTCCATAAAAATCAATGTAAGACAAACAAATAAAAACGAAGTGAGTATTGCTTCAATTTTAAATGGGGTGGTGCAATGAAGAAACTAATGTAAATGCAAATGATAGGTATAGTTGCAAGCATTTCATTTATAATTTTTTATTATAATTTTGCAATCATATAATTATTTATTTACATTGAATTATATAAGGGTTCTTTATTTATAAATATAAATTTCAAATAAAATTTTGATGCAGTTCACGTAATTTTAAATTGTGATTGATTTAATATATTATAATATTGTAGATAATATGTTCCAAAAATAATTATGATGATAGACAATTAAATTGGAACTATTTTAAGAAAAATAATAAAGCTAAAGCAAATAGATCAAATGAAGGAAATATACCAAGTTAAAAAGGATGGTGTCGTCTAGATAAGAGAATTAATGTTTTTGTATTATTTTTATTTTATATCAAATACGTATAAAGCACAAAAATTAGTATATTAAATTAATATTGATATATTAAATATAAAATTTATTTTTTATTTTTTTAAATCTGTATATATATTTTAAATTTTAAATTATATTACTTTTTTTTATTTTTAATTAATATTATTACCCAAATAAGGAAGCTTTTGAGATTCCATGGCACGCCAATATGCCACATTACAAGCTTCCAAATACATGTATAAAGTCTAAATAAGGAAAATGTTTTATGTTGACATTTCATTTATTTTTTAGTGTACTTTTACATTAAAAAAAGTTAATATTCTTAAATTGAAATTTCATAAACTAACTTACACATCATTTGCTTGATTATTTAAAATAATATTAAAACATTAAAAAATATTTTATATTTAAATTAATAATTCCAATAAACAAATGATATCAAAATCGAACCTAAAAATTTTTGTTAAAAATCCAACTTATAAACTGATTTAATCATGATTACAACCGACAAAAGAAGCACCATACTAAATTATTAGTAGGATGTATTTTTTTAGAAAAGAACTTTAGCAAAATTAGGTAATTGATTGCCTATTTTAAGAATATTTTGATTTTAATTGGGTCCAGTCCAAATCTACTAAATTCATAATTTTTTTGTGTGTTTTGATTTTTTTTTTAATAATACGATAATAGATATGATAATTTAAAATATAATAAAATAATATAAATAAATAAAAAATATAAAAATAACAAGATTTAAATTTTAAATAATTATTATATATAAATTTAATAAAATAAAAAATATATAATTTATTTTTTAATATAAATACAAATTTTAATATACAATTTTTATATAAAATATAATATAAATATATAATTTTTAATATTTTATATAATTCAAGTATCCGAATTATAAATGGCATAAGGGTGGTCATGTTAGCTGTTGGGCATTTTGTCACGTGACTTGAGACTTGATAGGCTGTCGGTTTAAGGCAAAAAGCTCAAAAAGCTGAAGATTGGAAAAAGAATTTTGGTCATTTGCTTTGCTTTGGGCGGGGGCCTTTGGGATTTACCAATTCTGGAACTGTTACGCCATGCTTTCTCTTTGCAAAAATAAATAAAATAAACAAATAGAAATACTAGTATTATGTACTGTTCGTAATAAAAATCCATGGGCAACCCTACCTTAAGCTTTTGGACTATTTTTTTATTGAAATTGTGGTCTGATTTAACTGTTCCAATGAAGATTCAGCACATTGAATATTAATGCCTTCCACACTCGACAATGATTAGGAAAAGCCAACAGAAATAAATTTGTAGTGGCCACCCACACCAAAAAAAATTGAAAATTTTATGAATGTTGGAGTAGAATTTGGAAATTTTCACATTAAAGCCAGTTTCTAGGCCATCCTATAACATAAAATTTCGTATGTTACTCTAGTAAAATGTGATTTGCATTGAAGTTTTTCTCTTCTAGAATTAATGATGCATACGTTGATTGTGTTTGATAAATAAAGGATTTAGATACGAGGACACATTGTTTCCATAAAGGCAGTCATTTGAATTGAATTTTCGCAGTTATATAGTCAATTTTCAACTTTAAAATTTAAATTTTAATATTTATAATTTTTTTTATTTTGCAGATTATAATATTTTTTTATAAAAAAATAAAAAATATTCTGACAAAAAAAACCTTTAATATACTTAAATCAATGGATTAAAAAATCATTCCATATATAATCAATGAAAATTTTAATTTCATAAGTATATAATATGCAATAGCATATGTTCGCATTATCACACAAAAAAATAATGAGAATTGATATATATCTTTTTTTTTTTTTTTTTTTGAGATTTATTCGGAGTTGAATTAGATTAAATCTTATAAGAAAAATAAAATTTTTTAAATTTATTTTTTTTATTTATAAAACTCGAAATTGATACTTTATTTAAAAAAAATTAAATTTTTTATCATTTGAATCAACAATCATTGATATAATATTAATTATATTAACTTTGAATATATCCATATATAGAAAGGATAGATCCCTTCAATATTCTTCAAATAGAGTAAGAAATAATAATAAATAATTTTAAAATTATAAACAGCAGGTTAGGTTGCCCATGTGTTTTCCCATCTTTCCATGTGGCTGAGACCATACCTGAAATTAAAACTACTTTTGTTTTTTGTAAATTATTATTATCTGTATTTTATAGCAGCAAGTCTCCAAATGAAAACAAAGTCCTTTTGGATCACATCCTATAAAGGAAACATGGAGGGGATCAAAAGAAAATTATGAAGATGATAGCTAGTTATATTTAGAGGTATAAATGATATATTAGTATTAATAAGTTATTCAGATTCTATTCGAATAAAATTTGAATTTGATTCGATTATTATCGAGTCGAGTTTGAACTTAAGTAATTTGATTCATCAATCGAATCGAATTCGAGTATTTTTATATCCGATTCGAGTAATTCATAAGCCTAATCAAAATTTTTATATTTAAATTTTTTTAATTATTTTAATTAATAAAATATCTCGAATTCGAGTTCGAACTCAAGCGTAAAAAATTAAATTTTTGTCGAATTTAATAATCGAACTTATTTTTACATATTAATCATGTTTAATCGAGCGAATTTGAGTAGCTCGATTTCGATTACGAATCGAGCTCGAGTTAAAAAAATGAAATTCAATCGAGTTCAAACCGAGTATCAAATCACGAGTTGAGAATCGAATTTGAACTCAAACTTTTCATTGTATTAACTCGACTCGACTCTATTACACCCTTAAGTATATCACAATTATATAGTTTCTTTGTCATAGTTTCTCCTTTCACATATTCAACTCTCTTAATATCTCCTTTCATTTGGTTATAATTAGAGTAGAAAAACTTAGACAAAATTTTTTATATAAATTTTATGAAAATTTATGTACTATATTAAGAATCTTGTATAAAACTAAAAATTTTATTTGAGTACAAATTTGAAATTTAAATTCAACACTTTGTAATTTTTTTTATTCTTAAATTATAATTTATATAATTATTTTTTTATCTTTAAACTACGATTTATTTTATACTAAAAAGAATCGAATTTGATAACCAACTAAACAAAATCAGATAATATGATTATATGTCTTTACATAAAGACAACCTATGGATTATGACTAGTAATTGTATCAAAACCATATTAATTTATTACTACATAATATTTTATTGAGAGACCAATATATGAAGCTTTCAAATTGAATTTTTTTTGGCAAGTCAAATTCTTCACGTTTAATCTTCTATATAATAGTATATAAAGTTGAATTTTGTTCCTGCCGTAGCATATATCGGCCTTTAAATATGATATTGTAAAATATAATATAGTAATACAATAAGAATACAATAAAAAAATAAAATATAAAAATAATGTGACTTAAAATTATAATAATAATTATGTATGAGTTTAATAAAATAAAAAAATTATATTTTATATTTTTTTATCAACATAAATTATTACACATAATTTTTATATAAAATATAATATAAATATATAAATTTTAATATTTTATATAATATAAATAAACGAACGTCCGACCATTGCAGGTCAAAACCTAAAACTTTCATACACTTCCATACGCTTTAAAATGATGTTGAAATGTAGAGTAGTAGATGAAAATAGGAAAAAAGAACAGAAAAATAGGGGATATAGAAAAAGAAAAGTGTGAAATGATTGATAATTGTTAACAGCCTCAAGCTCACAATTCACAAACCATTGCGTGTTAACCAAAAAAAAAGTACATGATCATGGAAGCATAAACGATAATAGTGGTCCGAAGATGAGGAAATCTCTTTGCATTATTCCTTGCATTATTGTTGCGTAAGCGAAGGAAATAATTAAGACCATGAAAATGACAAGATTAAGTAAAATCTAAAACAAC